CATAATGCGCGTACATGTAGAAAAGATACTATAAGTACTACCTAATATATCAGATTGATACATATCAAGATAGTTATATGGTGGTGGAGCTATACGCTGATAAAGGTGCGCAGGTTTGGTAGGGTGCGCGACTCGCTTGTACGCGGCGCTCGCTTGTAAAACACGTTAGTAGATTACATATTTCTCACGCGTAATAGTTTCTAGTAAGCAATGGATCATAAATTCTAGGTGAAGTGCTTAGGCAACTAGATTCTATTCCAGATTAGCTGAGTAGCTTAGATCTCCAACACAAAGTAATACATATACTAACTAAATAAAGCGATGGCTAGGCCCAATTTGAAGGTTAGTATAAATATTGGGCGTCGATGCTTATGGGAGTGAAGCCGTATTGGCTAAGCATTACAAGCATAGTATGAACAGAAGCCAGCTTATCGTTCTTGTCTACCATCAGCAACACTTATTAGCAAGCTTTACTAACCTATAGTTGTTCTTTTAATTGCCTTGGCATATTGAAGTATAAGTATAGAACAATGCTTGGTTTGCAAAGACCCAGCACGCACTAGAATATTATTTTTCGGATCAAAATCAACTACCAAGTATCCTATTCATTGGCCTTGTCATAGTGTACTAATATCATGGCCAACATGTTTTCTTTGCACGGGAAGAATGTAGTAATTACTGGGGCTGGAGGGTAAGGCTATATGGGGTCATTGGTATCGTCTGTCTGTTACTGTATTAACACATTGAGATAGGAGTATAGGAATGCAGATAGCGCTCCTCTTTGCCGACGCTGGTGCGAGCACTCTTACACTCATTGACAGTTCCTCGCAAGCTTTAAGTAAGCTCGAGCGAGCGTTTACTCTACAGCCGAGACGTTTTGATTGCAAGCTCATGTTTGAGAAATGTGACATGACAGACGAGAAACAGCTCAGTCCCATCCTAGACAGGTTGGATGCATACGGCGGAATTGACGTTATGGTAAACAATGCCGGCGTATTTCCTACGGATCTAGACGGCGATGCGATACACGTTAGCCTCAGAGCATGGGAACTGACATATCAAGTAAACGTATTGGGGACCTGGCTTGGCTGCAAGCATGCCATCCTTAGCATGCGGCGCAACAAGAAGACGTCTGGCAGCGTGATCAACGTCAGCTCCGTAGCCGGTCTTGTCGGTAGCGCGACGGCCCAGCTTGCTTACACAGCCTCTAAAGGTGCAGTCATTGCCATGACGCGTGAGTTGGGCATTGTACACGCCAAGGAGGGATACAGATTCAATTGTCTTTGCCCTGCACCGTTAGACAGTCCGATGTTGAATGACTTTTTGGACGCCGACGATGAGCCAACAAAGCACGAGAACGATCAAGATCTGGCTGTGGAATGCTTTTCTATGAACCGCAGACAGAGACGAGAGGTTCACTTGCCTCAGGGACGGTTTGGAAATCCAGTTGAGGTGGCAGGGGCTGCCCTTTTCTTAGCCTGCACTGCGAGCAGCTTCGTCAATTCGACCGAGCTGGTTGTGGATGGCGGCTTGACCAAGGTAAGCGGTACTTTTCCCAATCGTGTGATTCACTTTTAGACACATTTCTTCGCAAATCCCAACTAGCTGCGTAAATTAACCAATTTTCTAGGCGTTTGTAACACCAGAAGGTCCAAGACACTATAGTCAGCTCGTTGATTATAAAACGGAACAGATTAGCCCTGCCCTAGATGTATGATGGTGCTGAGCTGGGCGTGGTATCGCAGGTATAGCTCGGGAGGAGAGATTACTATTTCTCTGCTCAAAGATAAAGCGAAAAACATGAGTAACGTGTAACGATGTGTCAGAAGTAAGGCTTTAGTTGAGGCCCATGCATAAGGCCAAGGAAACAAAAGAAAAGAAAAAGCTGGAAAAAGGCGACACCTCAGGAGATAGCAAAAATGAACACCTTTTTCATGACCCCATGATTGAAGACCCATCAAATCTGACACGATGTTACAACTTCGCCAAGTATTGAGCCAATCCCAGAGCCGGATCGGAGGAAGTATCGGCCGCCCCTTCATCAGCTATTCGTTCTGAGTCGGATCCGATTCGGACCCGACTAGGATAGGTATATATTGAGACACTCCCTGTAGCTAGCTCAGTAGACTTTTGATATCCTTTCGTACAAGGCCTATAGGTGTCTATTCGAATCAAGGCTCGTTTGATGTCCCACGCACTCCCATATGCCTCTGAGTGACACTACTGCCGATACTGATCCGAGTAGTCTTACCTGCGCCGTTACAGTAACCGGGTTTGACAACGCCAATCTATTCGATAGACTAACATGTAACTATCTTGTGAAGTAAAAGATACTAGTAAGAAAGTACAATTTGAGTTGACCACAACGAGAGTAATAATGAAATCCATCCATTCTTATATCCTCATTGCTTCTGATCCTGCCATCCCTTCATGCGCTGCCATCCCGGATGGCCAGCCTTGGCGGGATGGTACATCACGTGACTCTAAGCCCCGCGATGATCCATTACCTTCTGACGTGGACGTCCATAGGCCTTCAGCCATCTCGTCACTTGTCCAGGAAAGAATCCTTCTTGTTACTTCTAACAGTTGTCAGATTTGATAGGTCTTCAGTCATGGGGTCAAAAACAGGTGTTCATTGTTTCTATCTCTTGAGGTGTCGCCTTTTTGTAGCTTTTTCTTTTCTTTTGTTTCCTTGGCCTCATGCATGGGCCTCAACTAAAGCCTTACTTCTGACAACAGCACGTAGGCATTGATGACGTTGTGATTATTGTATCTTGACGCAGAGAGGCAGTCTAAACAATGCTAAAAAAAAAACTATTGGCAGACGGCTATAGATTAATCGCAGATGCGGGGGAAGACTGTAGTTACTTGATCTGGAAATACCTAACACCGTCCGGCTCGCGACAGGGTGTATCCCGTTACTGATGGATGGACGTTAGTATAAGTCGTACAAGCTGCGTCCATTTCCAATGCTGTTTCAACCTAATTTCCAATCACTAGTTAATAGCTGTTGGATGGTTGGGCAGAGCCAAAAGCGCTATTCGACCATGGATCTTGCTAGTGTAATGTGTACGATAGGATTGAAGCCGGCTGGGTGATTTGTTCATAGAGTAATTGCCGCGATAGGTGAACATGAATACAAGAAGATATGTACTAGTTAGAGAAATGTGTGTTCAATAGCCTCATATTCAGAAGCTATAGCTCACAATTACATAGTCACAAACCTGACAGCTTCCCACATTGTTCCATGTAATACAAACCCACAAATTATAATATCAAGCCTCAAGCTTTCGAATCATCATGACTTCAACCTCACCCTGACCTGGGCCTCCATTTTTATCGGGTTTAGACTGTCCCATAATCAACACACTATTGATCGAAACGTCATTTGCAGTCGTGTTTTCAAGCTCCATGTCAAAGTTCCGAATCACACGAGCGAACGTGAGATACATCTCCGCATGTGCCAATCTACACACGATAAGTCAACCATCTATACCAAGCACAAGGGAAGCTAGTATTAGCATAGCATAACATACCCAATGCCCAAGCACTGGCGCGAGCCTTTAGTGAAGCTGGTCAACCAGTTGTTAAGAGGGATTCCCTTCTCTGCGGCCTCAACCCAGCGCTCTGGCGCGAATTTGAGCGGGTTTGGGAATATCTCTGGGTTGTTGTGCACGAAGTATGTGGATTGGCTCATGGGCATCTTAAATATATCAGTATATAAGTGCTGAACGGGACCTCAGGAATTTTCCTTACTCCTGGAGGGATCGAGTACTTGCCGTACTGTAATGTTTTGTCGACAAAAACACGAGGGAGGTGGGTGAGTGGACCGTATGAAAGTCGGATTGACTCTTTGACCACCCCCGTCTACAACAAATGTCAGTAGGTCTATTGGATTTTAGAGAATCCTGGAGGCAGAAATACTGACGAGGTAAGGCAAAGGCTCAAGTTTTGCAGTGATCAACTCCATCTCAGGAATATGAGCGACTTGTGACAGTTCAGCACGTAATTTTCTAATCAGTGACCTATCAGACAGAAGATAGAACATGCCGACAGAGAGAGCGCGCTAAGAGGTTTCAGTTCCGGCAAAGATGATTACCTGACCTTCATCTAATAGGCGTTGCATCGTACGCTCTGACTTTGGAATCGACTCATCACTTAATGCTTGCATGATGACAGATTTCTGCTTTCCCTCATCCTTGTTTCCACGCGTCTCGATGATCTTGTTCCCAATTTCCTTTTGCAATTCTAGCAAAGTAGCAACAGACGGAAAAAGTGAACGGATAACAGAAAGAGGCAACATATTTAGGTATTTGACGGCCCATGGTACGAAGCGGGTCCAGTGGAAGATCTCTGATGCGCCCTGGAAAGCTTCCTTGATGGGGAATACTAGGTCGGGCACGCTGAGGTAGTCGTAGTGATATCCGAAAAAGCGCTGTGTGATGATGTCGGCTGTCATGGCAGAGAAAGCTTTGTCAAGGGAGATTCTCTTATCCTCGGGAAGAGCGCGATCGAGACGACCTAGGAGAGCAGTAATCCGCTCGTGGAAAAGAGGCTCCATAGCTTTGATAGACGTTTTCGAGAAGTATGGATTCATATAGCCGCGTCGGGAGCGATGCAACGCATAGGATATAGTTGCGGCTGCAGAAGCGGGGACACCAAGTCCTGCAACAGTAGAGAGGTCCTTTTCAACCTCATAAGTTCCGCTAACATAGACGTTTTAGTAATATGAAGGATCATCAATGTGGATTTTATTTAGGTTAATGCGTATGATAGGGCCTATCTAAGTTCATCAGTGTTTAGAATTTCTTAAAAACCCTTCTAGATGTTGTGGCGCGATACGTGATCGAGCTCAAAAGATCAGAGGGGCGACCCGCAATTGAGTAGATAGAATAAGCTGAAAGGTGATCGCTATAAAGGATTGATTGGAGAAGGTGCCTATCTACCTACGAAAGAAAATCGTAATATATACCGTGAGCTAGTCACGTGATGCTACACCACAATGTATATGCACGTACATACCATATTTCCTATGCATTTTTTAGATCTCCCAAATGTAATTTCCTCTCCTTACAACATCATACCAGAAGTCAGGGAGAGATGTCATAGCAGCCATCCATGGGCCGAGAATCTTACGAAGAGGATGGAAGAACAAATTGTATACGCAGCGCATGCCAATGTAGGCGACCCAAAAGAGGGCAAAAAGTCCAGCTAGTTGGCTACTGATTCTCTTTTCCTTGGAAATGAACATGAAACTACCATTGTAGTTCGCCATTTTCGTGTCGAGAAGAGTATCATTGTGCGTTAGCGAGTCGATATGGAATAGGCTGCGGTTGAGAGACATCTTAGGGATATCCATTTTAAGGTACTGCATGTCAAAACAAATTAAACAAATTCACTCAGATTTGCACTGAGGTATGTCTGGCTATATATTTTTGGCTCACTTCGAACAGCCCTTTTGGTCGTGGTGGTTGATGTGCATAATTGCGGGTACGTTACCTGCACCTTGTGAATGGCCATTTACCATCTCAGCCTGCTTAGTTTCTAAGTAGCGCTATGATCACTAAGAATGGCACGTAACTGTGACGCAGTTGGAAGAATCGCGTTGCAGTGTCGCCACCTAATTTCTCTAGTCTAGTAAGCAGTCTGTAGGTATAAGCATTTTGAACGTAACTGTCTTCAAAGATTATAACGCCTTTGTGATTTCCTCCCGCATACATTCAGAATTAAGCTCCTTGCATCTTCCTCATAGTTACTTTGAGTGGCCGTACCATGTTGCGGTTATTGTCCCAGTGTAAGCAATACTACAGTATTTCGTCATAAGTCTGGGCTCGCTAAAAAACCCCTCACCAAAAAACGTCGTTTCCCACTAAAAAGCCTTCTCTCTTCTTTCTTACCATTCCTACTTTCTGTCTCTTATATAATAATTATTTAAGTATTAACGTGTTTCACCACCGAGCGGCGCAGTCTCCACACGAAAACAACGTCGCAACAACAACGCGTGATGTCTCAACGACCACAGCCTCGTAGAAGCTATACTGAAGCTGATATTCAACTGGTCGTCTCTGAGCTTAGTAGAAATCAAATTCAAAGTATTCGACGGGCTGAAAAAGTCCATAACGTACCACAAACAACAATACGCCGACGACGCGACGGAAAGCACTCTCGACGCGACTGCGAGCCTAACTGTAAGCGCCTAACAAAACTAGAAGAGGAGGCCATTACTAGGCGTGTAATAGTTGAGGCTGAGCGAGGACTACCCTGTGGGAGAGACGACGTGCGAGATAT